ACTGTGCAGGAAAGCCCTGGTTTCCTCTAGACATCTCATGCTTCTCACCTTTCAGCGGCCTGTTCTCAGCAGTTGGAGCAAAACTGTGATTGAATGGGGACAAACCTTAACTTTTGTTACCACTTCTTGCTTTGCGGTGAACAAGGTGAATGCCCTGTCCTTAGATTGGAATAGAAATGGGATCTTTGCAGAAGCTGGCCAGGACTTCTGGAGAAGCTGGGGCGGAAAGGCTTCTCTGTCTGTGAGCATACCACAGAGCAGTTGGCCAGCCAGTTGTAACTTGTTCATGGAAGTCTTCTTCCAAGTGCTCCTAAAACACTTCAGCACCGAGCTCGTGGGAAGCCTCTGCTGTGATGAAAGAGAACTTGGGAAGGCTCTGGCTGGATTGAGAGATGCTTAAACAAGCACAGGAAGTGGTTCAGAGCACAGCTCTCACCAGGACACAGCAGGACTGTAGGGCGGCTGCTTTTTAGGACCTCATCTCATGAGAGCAGCCTAAAGCAGCTTTAAGCAACAACAGGAGCCGCTGTTCCAGGCTTTATGGAGGGGGCACTGCTGGAGCAGTGTTCTGAAGGTGCATGGCTTCTGCTGTGAGACACTTCCGTGTGTTTCCGTTTGGGTTTTGCCTGAACCATGAGCACAGTAGTGAAAAGCTCATCAGTTTCTTCCCAGACTAATTCTCTCTCTTCTGAACCAGGTGATAATCCTCATAGGAAACAAAGCAGACCTGGAAGCACAGAGGGATGTCACATATGAAGAAGCCAAACAATTTGCTGAAGAAAATGGTGTGTGTTTTCTCTTGAGCTGTTATATTTCCTACAGGACAGTGATGTTAAAGGGACTCCTCAGCACTGGTAGCTGCAAGCTTATGCCTCCAAAGTAATGTAATTGTATGTGCAAACTTCTGCTGTGCCTCAGTCTGGCTTAACTGGAACTGTGCTCAGTTCTAGGAATCAGCTTGTGTGTTGATGCCTTAACTTAGTCATGAAAGGCTGTTTAGTGCTAAAACAGTGTCTTGCATGTTATCTGGAGGTTGCAGTGTGGCTGATTTCGGGCTGTTTGGAGTGTATTATGCATTGACTGTTGAACCTCTGTTTCTGAACAGGTTTATTGTTCCTTGAAGCAAGTGCAAAAACGTAAGTTACCTTTCTCTACAACTGATTCAGCTGTGATCAGTTTAAGAGGATTATATTGGTTATGACTAAGTACAGTTATAGTTCAGGTATAGCAGGGATTTACAAGTGCAAAACCCAACAGACCACTGGCTGAGTTCTCTTAGAGTGGCCCCAGCCCCTTTGGTTGCTGACAGGAGTCACTGCACCGGACCTGGGCCAGGCTGTGTTGGCTGGGGAGCTGCTGGAGTACAGGGATCCAGTCTCCAGTGACACCAGTATATGTGGCTGCAGCTGGCACTCTTGGAATGGAACCCTTAAAAAGGATGGGATTTACAGTGGCTCCTGAGCTTGCAGCCACGCAGCTGCATGTGTGGCTCCATGCTGATTTTTGCTTCTTGGCCTTTGGGAATGTGTTTCTTTTCCCTGGCTAGTCCCAGTAGGTTTAATGGCTAGGGAGCCTGGACAGCCTTGAGTAGGCTGTCCCAGGAAGGGTTGTCAGACTCAGTGGTGCATCTGCTGTAGGTACCAAAAGCTGTTCTTGCATGCCAAGGGACAGGCATATCCCAGCAGGGTGTTTATAGCCAACTGCCTCCGCATCCTGCCCTGCCTGAGTAACCCCTGCCGCTCTCTTCATAGCGGAGAGAACGTCGAGGATGCCTTCCTGGAGGCTGCCAAGAAAATCTACCAGAACATCCAGGACGGAAGCCTGGATCTGAACGCTGCAGAATCGGGTGTACAGCACAAGCCATCGGCTCCGCAGGGCGGGCGGCTAACCAGTGAACCCCAGCCCCAGAGAGAAGGCTGCGGCTGCTAGTGACCTCCGTTTCCTGGCTCCATTTCTGACCCTTCACCTCTGTCTGTCGGGAGCGGTGCTTTTGACTGCTGCCCTGTCTTCTGTACATCTTACTGGGTTTAATTAAAACTCTTCGAGACAAGTTTAACACAGTACTAAACTGCTAAACAACGTTAGATGTAATCAGGTTATCAAAGGCAAGTAGAGTAATAAAACCTCTCCTGCATGGTAAATCTAGAAGTTTTTTTTTCCTTGATTGTCCTTGTGATAGTGTCACCGATACCTACTTTAAACCGAGCACTGATGCTGGACTCATGATTTCACACTCTCGCAGGGCTTTGTCTTGTACGGTTTAATTTGATGGTTCTTTGGCCTTTCTCCCCCACCTCTAACCGTTTAGAGATGTCTGTAGTAAAGGATGAGTTTTTTGCTGTGAAATGACTCCGATGGTAGCAAGGGGCTGGGTAACAATGTGCTTCTGTTGGAGGATGTCCCTGTGGTGTGTGTGGGGTCGGGGCGGGCTGGCGCCGCAGCGGCAGCGTGCACAGGGACACGTGCTCGGAGCTTGACGTCGGTTTTCTGCCACTTTTCTCCTTTCCATTTGTTAACAGGACGTAAATATGTATAAAATTTGAAGGAACTGAGCTAACAGTGAAGTACATCCTGTGTATATGATTTTAACAAAGAAAAAATGATTACTGGCATTAGAACAGTATGTAAGAAACCCCCCCGTTTGTACAGTACGAGCTGTGTGTGACCACGTTAGCGCCGAGTGCCACTCACTAACACAGGCCTCATCCCTGGTGTCACCCACAGCTGGGGCAGCTCGAGCCCCCATGCAGCCATTAACACTAGTGGGATCCATGTCTCATCTTTGCACTGTGGTGTTGGTTAAACCCCGTCATGTGCAATCAGCAGCGCGCTAAAACCCGCTTCGCTCTTGGGATAAGCGTTTTGCATCGCTGGGCTGTCGCCTGCCTCGTGCCCTGTGCTGGGGCGGCTTCTCTCGCACATCCTGCGCTTCTCTATCTGTAATTCCTCCAGTGGGCAGAGCCTGGACTGGATGGGCACCAGCGCTGGTGCTCCCTAGGGATTTGGAGCTACTGTTGTATTTTTACCAGGCCCATGTGAGGGTTTCTTTAAGACTTGGGCTTCTCGAGCCTTTTGAGTCCATCCTTCTCACAGGGTGCCACAACCTGTAATGCTGTATCAAAGGGAGATGGCAGGCGGTGACCATGCACCTGAGGCTGTTGCTGAGCTACACGTGGGTTCACTGTGGCTGTATGTGCAGCCTGCACCAAACTGCACTTGGGGAACACCACACGTGGTTGGAAAATGGCAGGGGCCTGTGCTTAGCCATGGTCACACGTCCAGTTTTAGTCTTGCTGCAGGGTTTAAAATACAAAGTAGTCTTAAAATCCCTCCCTAGACACTAAAACTACAATGTTCAGACTTGTAAGTAAACCGTGGTACCAGAGTATTGTACAGTCAATGTTAAATCAAAGCCAAAACTGGAATGTGCAGACAATAGGATTTGGGTAACTTGTGCACTGTCCCTTTGTTTTGTCTGGTTAGTCCTTTTTTTTAACTAATATTCTTCAGTAGATGGGTATGTTCAGGATCTACAGCTCACATCCTGCTTCAGCCGAGGCTGCGCCGCAAAGGGTTTGCCCAGGGACCACGACCTGCTGCTGCTGTGAAGTAAATGTTGTACTGACTCCAGCTTGCTGAGGTGCAATACCTGTCCTCCCAGTTACAGTAGGTCTCACTGTTTCTGTCACAGAAAGGAGCTGTTGGACTGCTGTACTCCTCATTTGATGTAACGATGCTATTAATCTAAATATTTGTAAATAAAGTACCTGTATCTAGATAAACTGCCCTCGCCTGTGTTATTTGCTCTGGCCCCCTCTGCTTGGGCTGGGACTTGAGGGGTGGCTCCCTGGTTTGGGGTATCAGGCGGAGGTGATGTCCTGTCCCATCCAGGGCACAGGCAGTTGGGGCTTGAGGACAGCAGCTCCCTCAAGGCCAGGTTGGATGGGGCTTGGAGCAAGCTGCTCTGGTGGAAGGGTTGGAACTGGGTGAGCTTTAAGGCCCTTTCCAACCCAAACCATTCCAGGAATCTATAATGTGATTCCTTCAGCTGGGGATGAGGAACGTGAGAATTCCTTGTGGCAATGGTGTGTGTTCTAAGCGGTAAAAGCTCCACAGGCTTTTCCCAAGAGGCTGTTCATGGTGTGACAGGCCAGGGCTGAGCCCAGCACAAACACCCAGAGCAGTGTTGTGCTGTTTAGTCCCCAGTACAGTGTGATCCCTCCTTGCTGCATAGTGAAGATCCACAGGGACCATGTGGATGAGAAGGCAGGACTGAGGGTGAGGCCCAGCCCTGTCTGCATGGAAAGGAGGGATGAGGGCTGGGGCAGAGCAGAGCCTGGTGCACAGCTTCTCATGCTGCTGCTGCAAGGCTTTACATGTGGTTCTCTCACAGAGCAAGCTGCTTGGAACCCTGTGAAACCACTCACCATGGGCATATGCTTCAGAAGCGATGCTGCAAAGCCTCCGGAGCATGAACTGTAACCGAATGCTTACCAATGGGAGCCAGGAGCACAGTTAGTGTCAGAAACACCGATTCTGGACAAGTTTCACTCTTCTGCAGTGCTGGGAGCATGTTACTGCTGTTCTGAGAGCCTGTGCTGCAGCTTCAACCCATGGAAACAGCACCACACCACCACCAGCCCCCAGCAAGCATCAGTCAGTGAAGTTTATTTTAAGCAAGCACTCATATAAAACATCCATGTGTTGGACAACAGTGACAACTCTGTCCCTCTACAAGCTTTTGAAAGGTACCTCCACCAAAATAGATGGTGTTTTGCATACTTTTAAAACAGTTTTAAACCCCAACTTATATACATAAAGCTCTGTTACTGGCTCATACAAAAACTTCACAGTGGAGAGAGGGCCCTGCAGCCAATGCTGGCAAACACCTTTTCACACCAGGCTTTGCAGAGCAGCGAGGTAGAAGTGTGAAGGTGTCATCCCAGCTGCCCCACAGCCCCAGCTCCTGCTCTTCTGCTGTAGGGCAGCTCCTCAACCATTACACAGGAACACTGGGTACCAGGCTGGTGGCATAACTCACTGTAACAGGTTTGGGTGCTGGGCTGCATGCCTCTTAAAACCAGGAAGCACTGCTGGAAGCCCAAGGGTGGCAGCAGCCTTCCACTGCAGCTGGCCAGCAGCACAATGGTTTCTCCATGTCCTGTCAGAACTCACCTCTCAGCAGCTCTCACCCACAGCTGGTGAAAATACACCTCCAAGCGGCCAACCAGCATCAACCCTGAGGATCCCAGCTGCAGGAATGCCCTCAGGTAAGGGCCGGCACCGTGTGAGAGCCCACACCTGCCCTGGGGCTGCCACCACTTAACTAGCTTCAACCTTCAGGACAGTCGTGACTGGGTGAAGTTCCCACCTCACCTCTGGGCTTCACTGGGATGCTCCTGGACAGCAGGAATGTGTTGTCTGTGCTGCTGTGGGGAGGCCTGCAGCCTTCCTGGGGCCCTGGGGGAGTCTTGTCAGAGCAGCCTGGAGAGAGCAGCAGGGCAAGAGGAATAAACCAGTGCCTTCAATGAGCACAGAGACGATGTTTTATAAAACAGAACAAGAAAATGGCTTGAACCTGCCCGAGGGGAGACTGAGCTGAGCTCTTAGGCAGAAGCTCTTCCCTGTGAGGGTGCTGAGGCGCTGGCACAGGGTGCCCACAGAAGCTGTGGCTGCCCCATCCCTGGCAGTGCTCAAGGCCAGGTTGGACACAGGGGCTTGGAGCAAGCTGCTCCAGTGGAAGGGGTCCCTGCCCGTGGCAGGGGTTGGAGCTGGAGGAGCCTTCAGGTCCCTTCAACCCAAACATTTATGATCCTGTATAGCACTTACCCTTCTCAAACAAGCTGGCTACTGCCAGGGTTAATAAAGGTACAGTACAATCACCCCCACCTTCAGAACCCCCGCACTGTGCCTCTTAAGGGGTCATGAACATATGGCTGGGATAGACCCAAAGCCACAAATCCTGCACAGAGCAGAGCAGTACCTGAGGTTTTGTCACTTTCAGAGCATCCTGCGCAGGTCCCAGGCTCGAGCTCTGGGCTGGGAACAGTGAATCTGAAGCAGTGCTGCTGACCAGGTCGTCCAGTGCATCAACCTGCCGCCTCAAGCTGTGAAGGGTGTCCTCAGTTTGCTGCTTCCCTCTGATTAACACTTCCACTTGCTTGGACATGCACTGCCGGAGCCGAGCCTAAAGCAATCGGTAGTTCTCTTTATTCCCAGGCAGTGCCATTTTCAAGGCTGTATTTAAGAAGGCTGATGACCTTCAAGCCAAGCCCTCAGGAAGGTGGCACTGAGAGTCCCAACCCATACACAGATGGCAGGGGGTTGCAAATTAAATAGCTCACCTCTCCCAAGTGAGAAAGCAGCTCCATTTCCAGAGCCTTTTGTCACTAACTGCCCAAAGAGAGAGCAACAAGTACGTTCCAGCTGAACTGGGCCACCCCCTGTACTTGCATTGATTGTGGGTGCTCCTGAACTGTCATTAGCCCCATTGCCAATAGACCACAGCATGATGTAAATGAGGGAAGCTTGTTGGAATACTCAAAAATCCAATTAACTGTTAATTAAATTACTCCTCTTGCTACAGCATGCAGGTGCCAGGCTCTCCCTTACTGCTCCCACCCAGAGGCACTCAGTAGCTCGTCAGGGGCCCAGAGCTGCTCTGCTTGTGTGGGGAGAAGGATCTTCATGTGGGTTATGGGGGGACCCAAGGGAGGAGGTCGTGGGCCAGGGAAGAGATGGGATGAGCCACCTTGAGCCGATCCTCGTGCTGCTGCAGCTGTTCTCGGAGAGCCTCCCCACGCCACTGTTCATCCTGTTGGAAACAGAAGCACAGTCAGGAATGAGCACGACAGCTCCAGGTACCACAGAGCAGCAAGAGCTGCACACCAGCAGCAGACACTGCCTGAAAGCGTTTTACCATTAAGAAGACTTTAGAAAGGTTCAACTTCTCCAGGGAGAAAAGTCTCTTCTCAGCAGCAGCAAACAGAACCTCTGAGGGGTCAGATTCACGCTGCAGACTTCCCTCTGCTTCAGAAGATGCTTCTGAATTGTCCAATGGTTCTAGAGAAGATGGGCTTGAAGATTTAAGCCCTGTCCTAATTTCATCTTCAACCTCCAGTTTAAGTAATGCTGCTGCATTCTCCATTTCTCTTTGTCTGTTTTCCAGGTCTTCTTGAGTTTTCACCTACACCACAGAACAGCACCACCACTGTGTTTTACACACTTGTAAAGGGCTTAGGAACAATTTATAAAGGCTTTATTAAAGTACAGGGGGTCAGATAACATGCAGTCACCTTTTTAAACTGAAGTAAGTATCAAAAGAAGCAACTGCTGGCCCAGGATGGCACTAACAAGTTGTTAAGTGCCACTGAGTAGCTCTGACCATTGGTAACGTCTAGTGATTTGCTATGCCAAGTTCCTATAACCAAACCTTAATGTAAACAGGAGCAGGAGTCCTAATTCCTGGCTGAAGCCAACTGTGATACAGCAGAGAGGAGATTCAAAACCAGTACAGTATAAACCTGTGTGACAAGCAGGCTTTCCCTCAAACCCACCTGTACTCCGCTACTCAGTTATACCTGGGACTGGAGATCCCTGTAGTCCCGTTGGATCTGGTCAAGGTCCATAGTAAGGCGCTTGGCTCGCTCCCAGTTACCATGTGCTATTTGTTCAGCAGTTGCTGCATCACTCTGCAAACAGCTGGTTTCATGCTTTTGTTCCTAGGAAAATGCAGAAAGATCTTATCTTTTTACTGTGAGCAGAGCATCCACCAGAGCACACTGAGGACAACTTGAAGTTAAGAGGACAGAAACAGCATTAAATAGGAGCAAGCAGAGATGTTCTGCAGCACAATCTAGAAACACCGGAGTGTGGCTGCCCCAAGTTCTATCTAGTCATGAAGTTAGCGAACCACTTTGTTCCTCCTATGATAAAAATGGGTGTTCCATCATTTTGCTATTTAAAAACAACCCAAATCCCCAAACGTTCTCCCTCCGCTAAGACTTACCTGCAGTCTTCTTTCAAACTGCATCCTTTGCATTTGCATTGCTTCTTTCAGACTCATGATTTTCTTCCCTGCCTTTCTCCTCTCTGATGCTACCTGCTCTTGGAGATGGTTCAGCTCAGACTTGGAGATTTCCAGTTCTTTCTGCAGAGACTGTATTTCTCTATTTTTTTGTTGTAATTGAAACTCGTTTTCTGCGAGCTGGTGTTCTGTAATGAACGTTGTTAAAAACAATCCTCATTAGCAGAGATGCTCAAGGGCTTGGCATCACATCAGACATGTCTGAAACACACAAACACTGATACAAGGGGAGAGGGGACACAACACGGCTGGCTTTAGAATTTCAGTTCTCTGAGCAAGTCAAGGTTCAGGAGTCAACCCATGTGCTCCATTAGAAACCAAGTGAGATTACACAAATATCTGTTGGTTTCATTACATTCAGAGCCCCCAGATGGTAACAGTTTACTTGTGCAATGACTCTTACTGCTTTTCCTGACAGATTCCTCAAGTGCTGCACATCGGGACTCCTCCTTTTCCAGCAGCCTGAGGTTCTCCTCTGCCAGCCTGACTTTTGCTATTGCCTGCTCCAGTTTCACTTGTTGCTCTGTCAGCTCCTTTTCCAGCAGGATTTTCTGATCCTTCACTTTAGCAGTACATTCTTCCAGCTTTTTCCCTTCACGCTCTGAGTTTTGCTTGAGGCGATGAAGAATCTGCCAAGAAAAACAGCACCTCACTAGTACCAGCTCCATGAAAACTGATACCATCACCAAAAGATGTTACAGAAGTAGAAGCAGCTTAAATTGGGAAGCACTGGAATTGAACATTCCCTCCTGACAAGTTTTATGTTTTTCTTGCCTTTGTTATTTATACAGCTCCCTCAGTTCCTCTTTTGGTTGATGCTTTGTTGAAACTGCTCTGCCAGCTTCAGTTAATTTTACTATAGGAATATATGATGAAGCCCAAATTTTCATCAACAGCTGATGGGCTTTGCACAGAAATACCATAGGAGAGAAAATAAAAGCTTGTAGCCAATAGTGATCCACTCAAAACCAGAAGAAAACTTAAGGATAAAGCAGCCCTGGACTTCTTTCTGTTTAGATTTGGCATTAAGGGAACACGGCTGGAGTTGAACTGGGATTAGTTTCACTCAAAGTCCATTGTATCATTGCAGGTACTGTCCTCTGCAGGTACTGCAGCCTGCTCATCTCCCAGGAGAAATCAACAGCATGAGAAGCTCTCTGAACTACATCCAGCTGCTGCATCCTGGCTGCTGACAGAACAGAGTTATAAGGAATCCATCCTAATCCATCTCACCAGCAGCCAAGACACAAACTGCAGGGCCTTCACCCTGCCCTTCCTGCACTCCATGGCCACTGCTGACTGCCCAGCAGTCTTGGTATCAGTGTGACCCTGCCCAGAAGGAAGTCCCTGTCCTTCCTTGGGACACCCCAGTTTTCACTAAAAGATAACTGAATGTTGAAGCTTTTTGTTTGCTGCTATTCCTCTGAAAATGAGGCTTCTTGTTTCTTAAAGCACTGCTCTATTATTTGTAAGCTGTCTGGTTTTAGAGGTCAGGAGAAAGAGACAAGTCAGCAGGGCCAGTACCGCTTCTTGTTTGGCTAGTTCTGTTTCCTTCTCTTCAATCTCCTTCTGGAGCTGCTGCAATTGGGTCTCCCTCTTTTTCTGTCTCTCTTGGCAATCCTTACGTTTCCTTACATACTGCAGGATATCTTCTTTCAGGGTTGCCTGCTCTCTAAGCAACTCATCCTGATGCCTTGTGTTAGTTTTCAAATCCTGCAATATAAAGACATAAAATTAGGTGACAGAACTGGCTGGGAAGAGTAACAGCTCCAGCTAAAAGGCTTGCATTGACAGAATATAAAAGATCACCCCTAATCCCAGTGAAGATTACTGTCCATTTAAACCAGCCACTGAGAGAATTAGCACAATAAGACCCACACAGAAGATGCTGCTTATTTGGGGTTTAAGTATCTTTTCCCTCCTTCCTGTGCACCACTACATGAAAAGAAGTACATATTCACTAAAACTAACCTCTTCTACTTGTTGAAGCTGTTGCCTGCAGTCAGTTAATTCTCCTTTCAGTGATTCTAGTTGTTCTGTTTTATCTAGAAAAATATTTGGTGACAGATTTGAATCAGCAAAGTGCAGTAAATACCCAGCCAGGGAGATCAGCTCGTCTCAGAAAGGAGGAATAGAAAATAGAGAAACAGTTTCTAAAAACTCTTATCTTTTCAGCATGTTACAGCATGTTCAGCCTGTAGATATCTGAGCGTATTAGACAGATTTAATATCATACAGTATAGTCAAAGTGTGTCTTCTAACACAGTTTCTCTTAAAATGTATTACAGCTTAAAACCAGAAGTTGATCTTTACCTTGAAGATCCTTCTGTGCAACAGTAATGTCTGCAGTCAGTGATTTTTTCTGTCTGTTCAGCAGATCCACCTCCTGCTGCAGGTTCTTAACATCCGACTCCATTTGTTCTACACTGGACAATGCAGTCCTGCTGCTCTCTTCAGTAGCAGCCAAGTCTCTGTAAAATGTGAACACATGCTCTTGGTTTGTTGGAAGCACTTGGTGGGCACTCTAGAAACCAGCTGCATTTCAGTAGTTCTCTCAGCTCAAGCAGACACTACCTGGTAGTCACAGTGAGACAGCTGTCCTGTTCCAAGTCTCAACATCCTGCTTTTTATAACACTTCTCACTGCACTGCCATGGCATAACAAATGCTGTTGCATTCATCAGCTCCATGGCTGAGTATTTGCTGTGAGTCTGCTGTAGACATGCTTAAAATAAAACCTCCACAGCATACAAGAAACAGCTCATTCTGTACAATCGGGCACCTCAAAGTTACAGCTTTAGCTTTAATTATGATAGACATTCACTTCTGATCTTTGCAGGAATAAATATCCCCTCCCCCCCCACCTTCTGGTTTGTGACAACTTCTTTTCCAAACTGTGACAATCTTCCTCGAGCTTTTCCTTTTCTTTATTCAGAGCCTCAATGCTATTTTGCAGAGTGCGCATTTGAGAAACCAGATGTTCGTTTTCCTGACGGTCTTTCTCGAGCAGTTGTTCCTGCCAAGCTACTTCCCCTTGCTGACACTGGAATAATCTCTGCATATTCTCCAGTTTTAACTTCTCCTGCAAAAGAAGGCATGGAGAACAACACATAAGGTCAAGAACTAGAACAAGTTAACAACATCTGTAGCTGCAGCAGTTTAAAACCTTTCATTCACAGAGATCACACATAGGCTTGAGTACCCTCTGGAACTACTGTGCTGTAACTGCTTAAAGTGCCAGATTAATTTCAGTGTATTTATGATGAAGGTTATGGTGAATATGATGAGCACAAGGACTGGGAGAAAGGGGTCCAATTCCTTGTTCAAACCTCATTTAAACATCCTATTCCCCCACCCGTAAGAGTAGCATATCCCTTCGTGGCAGGGGTTTTGAAAGAATGGCTGCGAGATGCTCAGGCAATGTAGTAAGGTGACCACTGTAAACTGGAGTAATATTCTCTTCTCTTCCCTGTTCTTCACAGAGAGAGCACAAACAGAAGAGATAAAGTCATTTAGAAGTAAAAGCAGCAGGTACTTACTATTTGCTTATATAAGCTTATAAACACTCTCTGAACAAACACATTAGTCTTTCTGCAGTTGCACAACTAAGTAAAGAAGGGCTGTCCCTGACTCTGAGCTAACAATCCTGTAGCTACTGAGAGCTCTCTCCACCCACTGGTAGCAAAGCTCAATGTCAATCTTTTAATCATCAAAAAGAGAAGAGACTAGCTGAGCTGAAATACCTTTTAATGGTAAAGAGTATCATCCAGTTGAGTTAATAAACAGTCTTCCATACTTACTCCCTGCAAGTGAGGACACAGATAGAATCCAGATGAAAAGACTCTGGAAGCTAATGCTAAAAAACCAGTATTCATCATTCCACAGCCACAAAAGAGCCTTCTGCCTTTCTGTCCTCTCTCCCTCATATGCACTAAAAAGATCCCAGTATTTTAAAAGGCCTAAGCTGACTTAAGACTTTTCTGTGATAAACTGAAATCAGATTAGAAACTGACTGATTTAGAAGTGTAGGGAATCTGTTATCCAGAACAGAACCACAGAATATGCAGAACTCTTCATCCACTGACTAGTTGAGCTACATAGGAAATACTTACTTCTAGAACTGCAACCTGAGTCTTTTCAAGCTCATTGACCTTTTGGTCATGTTGTAGTTTCAAGCCTTGAAGTTCATTGTTTTCAAGCTCCAGCATTTCCAGAACATGTTTCAGTTCTAGTAAAGGTGAAAGAAATAAAAGATTATTACAAGCACATCAAATGTATTCTATGTGCAAAAACAAGCACCAAGGAACTATCAAGGGACACTGTACTGCTGTCATCCCTGTCACAGCTCTGCATGTTTTCAGTTGCTGTGTTAGACACACCAGGTACAGTGAGTTGCTGGTAGGTCTCCTGCTTTTCCTATTCCTTGTCTGGGACAGAGTATGTGGTTGATTAACAATGAGAAAGTATTCCAGAAAAAATACACAAGTTGCAAACTGGTGCTGCTCGTACTTCCCACAGTCCAACAGGATGTAAGTGCTTGGAAGGAGATGTCTCCACTTCCCCACACATCCCAGTGTCTAATTCTTCTTCCATGAATGCAGCACTATTAGTTGATGTCTCCTGACCACACAGTGCTCGAGTATGAACTTCACTGATCAGTCCTGACAACAGATTTGTTCACGCTTCTCTGGCATGAAAAACTCCCACCCCAAGCACAAAGCAGGATGAGGTTTGAGCAAAGGGCATCTGCCAGCACTGTGTGAACTATGAGAATCACAATGGTTTAGGAGTGAGGAACAGAAGACTGCAGTGATGTACAACCAAAAGCTCAGAGTATTTCCTTCCAATCTGCACAAAATACTGTCTAGAAGGGCCAGGGACATACCCAGCTTATGCTTGGTAACTTGCCCAAGTACTCCTTGAAGATTTTCTTCCTCATTTCCAATATCCTTTCTTATGAAGGAAAGCTGTGCTCTTTTCTCATTAATCTGCACATCCAGTTCTTCCCTCTCAACATGAAGCTTTTCCAGAAGTAGTTTTATTTCCTGTGGAAACAGGAAACACAAGGAATGCCATTATTTGCCATTTTAAATAAAGTTTTCCTTTAAAAAGAGGTTTATAAAATTAAAACAGTCTGTTCAGCAATATTCTGGTCAATTTAATCCAGAGTTTATAGTTACAGTTAATGTGTAAGAGAACAAAAGATATATAATATTTAGGTTAAAGTCCTGCTCATTGACAATTTACAGTAACCTTGCAAAGGTTTGATCTACAAATCTGACCATAACACCATCATTTGGTGGAAACTTTATGGGATGTTTCTGATACTTCTTTTGCTGCTCAGCAGGCATACAGTGAACTGAAAACTCCTTTGGAAAAGTTACCCGTATTTGGCGTAGTTTTTCATTTGCTTCAGTCTCCCCATCTCGAAGAGCTTCTTTGAGGTCACCTTTCTTTTGAGAAATACAGTCCTGAAGGACATGGAGCTCTTCTCTTCTTTGCTTTAACTGTTCCTCCAGAAACAAGAGCTCTTGTTGCTGAGCAGTGATCTACAATGTAGGAGTTCAACAGAAGAAGCATCTGGAGGCTGTTATTTCTGTAGCTACACGCATCACAAGAACAACTGTGGTGCACTGTTCCCTGCCAGAGATTTACTTGAACTGCATAATGTGTAAGGATCCCATCAATGAGCTTCATTTGCTAAACCTGTATAATAAAGCCAATACTAAAGACTAAGTTCTGAGCTGGGCAGCACAGTCCTGTACCTCAGAGAGTTAATTTTCTTATTCTGAAATGCAATACAGATTGTCCCAGAGAACTAACTCTGCAGTAGTGTCTGTTATGCAGAAATGCCAGTGAGATCAGCAGCATATTTACGAGACAAAACAAGGATTATTCAAATTATCAACATTAAAATAAATGTAAGAATTAAATTCTTCAGACAAGGCAGTTCAGAACTTAAGACTCTTCTCAGCTTTCTATTACCACAAACAAAACTGAAAGCCCAGAATTAGTCAAGATGAACCTTACCTGATCTTTCACTCTTTCCAGTTCACTTTTCTTACCCTGAAGAAGGCTTTCTACTTCTGTAAGGATCTGGAGGTGATGTCCTTCGTTACCTTCTGCAACTTGAATATCTCCTTGAAGCTTCTGAAGACTGACAGTGAGAATAAAAACATGACTCAGAAGCAACAAAAATACCTTAGGCAGTAGTTTACTGGAGGAGGACATCTTTATCTAATACAGTTTATGGTAAATGAAGAATGCTCACCTCTCAGTCAGCATTTCTATCTTCTGGTTTAATGACTGGAACTCAGAGTCTCTTGCAGCCACCATTTTGTTGATTTCCTTCAAAATGCTTTCTTGTTCCCTCTTATGCTGTTCTAAATCTCTTGTATCTGCCTGTAATAACCTAAAGAAGCATTTATGTCTTTTTGTATTAACATTTTAACAGCTCTCCCTATCCAAAAGCACCATCTTGATATTTGAAAGAATCTTGTTCTCTTCCTCCCCATTCAACACCAGTTCACAAGAGCAGTGTAAGAGTACCTTAATTGCTGATCTGCTTTCACAAGTTTAGTGGCCATTTCCCGAGCCCTTCTCTCCAACTCCTTTGCCTCAGCTTCAGTACAGGACAAATGCTGTTTGGCATGATTGTATTTCTGCATAGTGTCTTTAGTCTAGAGCAAAAATTGAAGATTGAGACAATACACTCCCATTTTATGCTTTCCACATCCGTAACTTGCAGGTTAGCCATCTAAAGATGACCTCATCCTGGCCTGGACATTCCATCTGAGCTTTGTCTCTCTCCATAACAAAGTAGGATCTTTTCTCCTCTCTTGTCCAGAGCAGAAAAGCTTCCTCCTCTTTGGCAACGACTGAAACCTTTTATTTTAGCACAGGTTATCCAACAATTATTTTCATACAGAAGCATTTTAAAAGACTTCAGATTATCCAAGTGAAAATAAACTGCTTGAACAAACAAAACTCCTCTGTTTAAAACAATCTTAACCCAACTTGCAAACTCTTCTGCACTTCAGAGTTACGGTTTTACTTACTTTGCCTCGCGTGCTCTCAAGTTCCACTTCAGCTTCTGAAAGTAGCCTGTCTGCTTCTCTAAGCTCTGCTCGTCGCTTCAGAAGGGTCTTCTCTATACATTCAATTTCATCTGCAATATCTTCATGATGTTTAAGAGTCTTTTCTAACTGCAGTTCTGCAATAAGGTTGTCCGTGTACCCTTCAATAAAGTCCCTACAAGGTCAGGAAGAAAGGCATGGAATTAAAATACAAAATACCACAGGCATGGTGCCTCTTGGAAGTGCCAGTCCATTTACATTAACTCTAAATGAATCAAAATTGACTTTTATTGGAAAAAAGGTATTTCCATGTGGCTATGTGAAATGCATTCTGGGGCAGTGTTCTTACTTGCGTTTATTATGTTTCTGAGCTGCTTGCTGTAGCTCTGCTAATTCACATTCCAACTCTTCCCTTTCATGCAGAAGTTTCTCAACATTTTGAAGCAATCTTTCCATGTCTTTATTGTATTTATGCTCTGCTGCTTCTGACCATTTATCTTTGTATTTCCGAGACTTTAAGTAACATACAGTGTCTTCTAGCCTTGAGACTTCACTCTCCTACATACAGGAGACAGAACAACAAAATTAAGAGCTATTTTGTAATTCAGTCCTCAGACACATGAGCAGCTACAGAGAGAAAAACACAGACTATTAGCATGGAAGGTAGAGAATTCTCATCAGCAAATTCACTCAGATCCAGAACCTTCCCAGCAGGGACTTTTTTTGTTATAAACTGGACTAATGTAACTTGTGAAAATGAGGTGTTTGGGTGTTGCATTTCTATTTTTTTGAGAAAGTGTATGTTAAAAGATGTTCCTCATCCATTTACAAGTCTGTTGCCTGTGGTTAATCCTGCAGCTCACAGCTCTGTATCTTACCAAATCATGGTGTTCAGGCACATTGCAGTGAAGCACTCCAACGGGAATGAGTGGGACAGTGAAGTTTGGAGGAAGAGGGCCATAAACAACCTGAGCTCCCACAGGAGGTGGGCCATAGATAACAGATCCAGGAGCAACTGAGCCTCCACTTGCCGCTGCAGGAGGAGGGCCATAGACCACAGTTCCCTGAGGCACAGGGGCACCATCTGGAAGGACTGTGTAAATAACTGTACCAGGGGGTGGTACAAAGGGGGGGGCTTTGGGAACACGAGTTTCTTCCTTTCCTTCACTTTCTTCTTTTGCTCTTTTATCTTTTAAAAAAGAAAAAAAAATAATCAATTTTCCAGTATCATATATTCTTCAAATGCACATTTAAAATTCTGTGTAATGTACAAAAAGCAATAAACATGCTTGAACTGAATAATTGGTTCAAAAGGTAATAAACATTTATAATTCACACATGCACATAAAAGAATTCACCATGAACTCTGAGCAAACCCACCTTTAGTTTGCTCCTAAACATTCTGAGCCATGAGGCTTGACTTACCTTGACCTGAATTTGCTTTGTGCAACCTGCTTCTGAGCGGTGAATAAACCCAACATCCTCCTTGGTTGGGCAAGTCTTCCTTCCTGCAGTGCCTGTCCTCACCACACCCTCTCCCGGGTGGGGATGTCCCACAACACAGTAAACAAACTCCAGAGTCTTTTGTGCTGTGGGAAGCAGGAGTTGAAGCCTAAAGAAGAAACCAGGATGTGTTAATCTAGAAATGACAAATCATGTGAAATTAACTGTTGTACATATTTAAAGCTGATTTTTCAGGAACAGGCTAAACACACTCTGCTTTCCTTCACTTCCAAGCATGATGCTACTTTAAAAGAAAGCACTAAATAGTTTTTAACAATCTTTCTCTTAAATTCAGACAAATACTGTTTTGCAAGAAATATTTGTCTGTAATGTCCCCTTTCAACTTTAACCTAAGTGAATTTACAGTACTGCATTTTGAATAGTTTGATGTGCACTAGACCCCTACCACTACACAGTAATGGGCTTTATCAGGGAACTTTGTGCTGTGTTGTTTCAGTATTTCTCTTATATGCCAGACAGTGTTTTTTTCTGTACTTTCTCCTGTATCTATCAAGTTTATAATGGACTTTCTTATATCAAATAGCTTTCCACATCATAGGATTTTTCTGACCTGTGATGATGGCATGTAATACCAGTATCCCCTTCTTTTCAGTGGATCTGCCATGCTGGTGATGTAATCGTTCTGGTATGAAAGCACATTTTTGAGTGCTGCAATTTCATCTTGTAAATTGTCAATTTCTTCTTTTTTACCTGTAAATTAATCACAGTTTTATAGGCATCCAAAGCAAAAATTGAGTCAGAAATACTGCATTCTGCTTTTCTCTGTTTGTTATCCTGTTAATCTGAAGCAGTATTTAAAAACTGAATCGCCAGGGGAAACAAACCAAACGCTGTTATGAGATGATGTAGCTACACACTGCCCCTTGCAAGTTTGTCATTTTAAGACTGTAGAAATACAAGTTCATAGACAGGTAACTGATGCTCATCTTTTCCTTACATGCAGATCTCTGACAACATTCCAGAGCAGTATAAACTGAATGCAGGGTTCAATTAGTGTTTTCTAAATAGCTGTAAAAAGCGTTATTAACACAAACTAATGAAAACTAACACACTGTCATTCCTTTTTTCAAACTGAGGAAAAACTTCACTTTACTTCCAAAGGTGACATGGCAGGTCAAGTGGCAAACCCAGAAACCTGGGAGTGCTCGTGCCACTACTGGTCCTCAACCATCCCCTTCCTCCATTCTTATATCTGAAGAAGCAAAGACTCACACACTTCACATAACTGCACTTTGCTGTTTGCTTCATATACAGAGAATCCACTGAATCACAGTGATTTAATGACTGCATGTATCCTGTACACAGGAAGGCATTCTGAACAGTTTGTTCTAGAATAAACTTCCAGAGCTCTCAACATCTGCTCAGATCAAATGGTGAGAAATACAGAAAAGAAAGCGAAGGCTTCTTCATTCATGCTTATCCACAAGAAGTGGAGAGAAAAGAGAGATTACCTGTGCCAGTACTATCCAACATCCATCTTAAACGGTCAATTTCTGCTTTTTGTTTCTCCAGAGCTTCATTTAATTTATCAATCTCAAACTTCCGAGTCCTTGACGTGACAGCGTTCTCACCAGCTTTCTCCATTTCACGCTGAAACTAAAGTGTAAGTTTAAATCAAAGCAAAGCACTTCAGTTTGAATCAAAGCTTTTTCAAACATGCCCATCCTTCCCTATAAAAAATGCTCATTGAGTAAAATGCATGCATTTTATCCTCATCATGTAATATACAGCAAACATCACTGCAACCTACTTGTTCTTCCTTCTCTTTGAGGAGCTGCTGTAACAGTTCTATTTCAGCTTCTGCCCTGGCAAGGTCCTGGCCTGCACGAGCTGCCTGGGCACAGAACTCTTCAGCTTCCTCAATCTCCTGGAATTGAAATGTTAGTTTGAGCTTTAGTTTGCAAGAACCCTTCACAAGCTTGCAGGTGTCTCATGCAGCTTTGGGAGAAGCTGACTCCTATGAAGCATTAGCACCTGTGTGTTCTGGAATGCCAGTATATGTAAAATAATGTTTCTACTTTAACTTTACAGTATTTCTACGGAGGAGATGTTTGTATGTAGCCAAAAATGGTTCCCAGGTTAAGAACCTGAAGTAGTCCTTCTACAGAAGTAGAACTTCTGTAGTCCTTTCTTTTGCTCTTCTACCTTATCTAACAATGCATTTATCTATTGTCTTTCAGTTAGTAAGATTGATCTTGCCTCTTCTTTAGCTTCTTACACACAGTGAGAATGCCTGTCCATACACAGATTTACTCAGGTGTTCATCTACTATGTTTCAAGATGAGACTCTGTTGAAAGCAAGAGCACCTATGCAGCAAGACAGTTCAGACCAAAGTCTTGAAGCTCAGTTTAGAAGACAACACCAGGACTGCTCCCATTATGATGGCATTAGAAAGCACTTCTCACATACAAGCAATTAATAATCAGTGTTGATTCACCTCAGCTCGCTCCTGATTAATTCTGAGCACAGTCCCATGAAGAGCCTTTAGCTGATTTTTAGCACTGGAGAGCTCTGTGGCTGCCAGTTTATCTGAAGTGATTATTGCTCTCTTCAATTCCTTCAGTTCCTTATCCAGACTGACAAACTGCATTTGTGCCCTGGCATCTTCTAGCTTTTTCTGAAACCAGGAAAACAAAAGGATTTGTAAGTTTTAAGTAAAAAGCAGCATGGAAGAAAAGTTTTCTATTGGGATGACATTTCACCATCACCACATATCCCATTTTGTACTATATGCATCTAAGTAACAGAAAAAAAACCCTAAAGCATGGACAGCCAATAACATTTAAGGAAAAGAAAGCTCTTATATTTAATTTAATCTCTGTGTTCCTTCCTGTATTTGATCTTAGAAAGCAAAATAATTCTGAAGGTTTTGAATCTTTTTTTATCCTGAGCAGTCAGACACAGTGCATGGACTTGCCCTTATTCATTCTTACCCTTTTCTCCAGATCTTCCAGTTGAGCAAGAATAGTCTCTTTCTCTTCATCTGCCTCTTGGAGCTGTTGATCAGCAAGGCCCTGAATTTCTTCCATGCTCTTTATTTTTTCCTGCAAATGTTGAACTTCATTCTCTAACTGATGGACCTTGTTCTTATTCTGCCTGTTTTCAGCTTTAACCTACAAATGAAATAAGTTAGAATGGGTAGCCAGGAAGATTTCTTTCCACCCTCCTATCAAAAGCCACCCCCTATTTTAATGATTTAAAGAAACAACTTTAGGAAATGCAGTTACCAGCATACTTTGTACCAAAAAAGAAAAAGAAGTGCTTTGCCACTGTAACTATTACATTTTAAAAGTACCCGAGTTATTTTGGTAGTGGTAGATACAGAGAAGTTTCAAGAAGGTTAATGGCTGTATCTTTCTACCTATAATTAAACTCTCTGTTGCCTCTGAAATGTATCACTGAGTCTAAATTCTAATTAATCAAATAATTAGGCAAAAATCATAAAGAGTATTAATAAAACATAAAATCAGACTCAGCTGTTACATCAACACCAAAAAGGGGGTCTCTCCTTATATCATACAGCTACAGTTAGAGACTGCTCATGCAAATTTTAGTGTACATTAAACCCTTCTCCTCCACACAACATTTTTGCAAGCTTTATGTAATAAAAGCCAAACAGAGGGTGCAAAGGAGCACACATCCTGTCAAATAACCTGATCTAAACCAGTTCTGAGTACAAGCAAATATTTTAAGGTTTTTTGTTTTAAAAGAACTTGGAAGACTGTGGTGATGCTTATAAAAAGAAAGCAGGAACAGCCAGTGCATTTCACTAATCAGAATTTCACAGTACATACAGCATGGAAGTGGTCAATTATTTGTTCTCCCTCTTCAGAAGCTTTTCTCTGCTTATACATTTTCTTTATAATGAAAATTCCTATGTGGTACAATTGTGCACAACAGGAATATCAAACCTCTATTAATGGTTAGTGTTCCTGTTTCCAGTCATCAGTAGCAGCATCCTGCTCTGATGTGAGTTGTCAGATTTGTTTCTGACAAGTAAAATTATACTTCTCTGAAAGAAGGAGGGTAGCAAAGCTTCATCTGTGCCAAACTTGATCCTTCAGCTGCAAGTTACATTTTTTAGACGAAGCTGAAACCATCTCATTCTACTTTGTTGTTTTGACACGTGCCTGTCTGTATTTCTGCTGTACTTCTTCCAGTTTTTCCTGCTGGGATGCCATCTCCTCCTGCAGTTCTCTCTGTCTAGCCCATGCTTTCTCTTTTTCCCTCTGAGCAACAGCGAGGATGTCATTAAATTTGTTCTGCAGATTTGCAAGGCTTTTCCCTAAAACATCAGATGAATTCTGACATCTGAAAGAGAAACAATCCAAGTTCCAAGACAGAAAATAGCAATTTTAAACTGTGATACCAGATACTGAAATAACAAAGCCTACTACAATAGTGCAAGTTTAAGACATCCAGTGTACATTAACTCAGGCACAGCACCGCTGCTCATCAGGCTTGTGCTCCAATTTCACATGCACAAATCTAACACTGTTTATACTTTTATTTTACTCACTTAATCTCTCCATCTCCTGTCTGAAGTTTTTGCTTGAGTTCATTTACACGAGCTAAGACCTCCTCAGGATGAATTAAGTTCGCAACCTCATGGTTGAGCTGATTCTGAACATCTTCAAGCTGTTGTTTCAGGAGATTATTGTCTCCCTGAAAAAGAAAAGACAAAATATTGGTTTCAGTGTGACCTGAACCAACACAAACAACAAACAAGAACACAGAGGCAATAAATTCTGCCTTAGGTATTGGTTTAGTTTTTTAGCTCTTCATCCAAGTAGTTTTCTTACTGACATGGACTGGATGAAGCTTGTAGGAAATTAAGACACATGTAGCAATTAGTCAATCCCTCTGCAATGTGACTGAGCAGCTCTGAAATGATTTCAAAGGTCAATCTAAATATCCAAAGTAGATAAAAGACTATGGTGTGGGGTCTTTGGACAGGAAAATTAAAATCAGGAAAGTTATAAATACTACTCAAGCTGATAAAATTCATACAGAATCCTTTAAAATCCTTATCACTTTCCCCTTGGGGGAGTAGGGAATCATACTGTGTATCAGGTAACCTTTCAAAGGCAACAAATACTTCACCTGCAATTGTTTGAACTGAGAAAGGAGCTTATAATTTTGCTGTTCCTTTTCCTCTGCTAGCTGTGCTTTGGTCAGAGCATTGTCCAACATTTGCCTTTCTTTTTCAAGTTCAGCTTGCAGGGCTGACAGTTCCATCTACAAACACAGAAAACCTGCAGATTAATACCCCCCTCCCAATCCAACCTGTCACCCAAGTAAACAGCTCTATTTCTTAAAACAATATGAACAACAGCCCTAAAAAAAAAAAAAAAAAATCAACAAAACCCCAATCATCCCAGATTAGCCCATCACCAACATTATAGATGTGTTTCCTAAAAACATCATCATGGCTGGCACTGCAAATCTTAATCCATACCTAAGCATGAGCACATCCTACCCACCAGGTGACTGACAGATTTACATTTATTAGTGTTCTATAGAAACCTGACAAGTATTTTCTGAAACCTGGGGACAGAACACCACACTTCATTGTTTTGCATTTTCATTTCTGGCTGCAGTCTGGAACGTGCAGTTAGAATAAATCTTGCAAGAAAACCATCTCATTGATTTCTGACAAATGGAAACTGAAGCAGGGCAGTAGTTATTGTACATCATCATACAGAAAACCAAATTAAGATCTCCAACAGCAAGATAAATGTGACAATATAAATTAAAGCATATGTGGTTCTTCCCCAGCAGAAAGCTGTTACTTTATAATAACTTACAAAATAAAAAGATTTGCTGTAAAACTCAATTTCTACTACAAAGAGCAAAGGCAAACTGTCTTTCACCTGCTCCTTGCACAGGAATACTTTAGAGTCACTTCTCTGATGTAGGCAGAGTTTTCTCTTTCCAAAACAATGAGGACTATTATTTTCCTTTTAACTATAGTGAATATTCTCTACAACCAAATTGCCTGTATCTTACTTCAGTGCAAAGCTATAAATCCTAGCAAACTGGTATTACTTTCCATCTGGGGGCATACCTAAACCAACAATTACTTGCAAGACCACACTACAGATGGAATATGGAGGAAGGTTTGGTTGTCTCTTATCCTGAAGCAGATATCCCTTTGGCAGCACAAGAGTTCTGTTCTTACCTTGCTACGTTGTTTCAGTCTTTCATATTCTTCTTTTTGCTGACTGGCTTCAGCATCTCTATCTCTTAGCTGCGCTTCCAATTCAGCCTCATAGGCACTGATGTCCCTTTGTGCCTCTCTAAGCGACTCATTTATTTCCTGCTGCTCTCTGAGTGCACTCTCTAGCATTGCAATTTCCTGGAATGTTACATTCATTTTAGAAGTACAGACACAGGAGAGGCAGGATCTCTTGAAGAGTACATTGCCTCATGAACTCATCATCAATGTGACAGCAGATAGATCAAAATAGACACACTAACCCTCATCTCTGAACATTAAAACTTAAAGCTAGGTGGCACCACAACATACAAAGGTCAGGTCAATGACATGGCTATGACAGACTGTACTAACATCTGTGCTCAAGTTAAAAAGCGTAGCTTAAAGCAATACACATTTGTCCCTGTATTAAGGTTTACATAAAACTCACCAGGATGCTAAGACAAATCTTTAAGTTTCCATAGCAAAAACTTACACTGTCCAAGAACTGTGCTTTCCTATTTGCAATTTGGTAATTTGCTTCTTTCTTTCAGGTTTATTCCCAGGTAACTGAATTTGGGAAGAAATACAACATTAAGCCTTACTTTTCTCATATTTTCTGTATCCATGGCAACTATTTCCAGGTTGTTTCTTTCTTCCTCTAGATCTGCCAATCTTTCTAGCAAAGATTCTTTATCCTTCTGCAACTCCTTACATTCATCATTGGCCTGTTTTGCCTGAGACTTAACACTTTCCAGGTACTCCTGTAATCCAATGATAATACTTTCTAAATCCCTTTTCAGTGCTTCATTTGTTGCTATTTGACCTGCAGAAATGCAGAAAGCAAATTTGAGACACTTAAGAAACCACACTTATTTACAAAACAAACAAAACCCCCTTTATTCCTCTTATGAAGTTATTATTACATATTGCAGTAGGCAAGTAACTGGAACTCAGCCACAAAATGCCTGTATTTTAAACTGCAAACTGCCTTCCCCAAACATGTATAAATGAACATATTAAAAAGTAAACATTCCCATAAAGTCTCCTTTTAGATCAGTTAAGAATAGTCTTTCAGCTCTTTCCTACACATTCTGTATTTCATTTAAACAAAGATAAAACAGAATCCTCAGTTCAACCCTTATGTTATCCTAACTACCAGAAATACTGCCAGCCAAAAAGAAAAACCAACCATCAGTCAGCTGCTGCTCCAAATCCTTGATTTCCTCAGTTTCTTTTGCAATCCGAGAGAGCATTTCATCCAGGCGACTCTCAAGCTGTTGATAATGTTTGTTCATTACGTCAAACTGCTGTTCTTTACTTGCTTTTTGAGCTTTCAGGTGAGCCTGGAAATTAACAGTTGGAAAGGTAAAGCAGGACAACACCAATACAGATTTAAAGTGTTAAATCAGTATTTAATCTCAGTTTCTGCAATGTCTTATTACTAGTAGTAAAAATCACAAGTGCAGCTTATGTTGTGGTGTTTGGGGTTGGGTTTTTTGGTTTTGTTGTTCCTGCCCCACACAGAATCCCAGATAGGCAATCTCTGAATAACAGCATTGTTACCAGACTCTCCCTTGCCCAGGCATGAAGAATAAAGCCTGCATTTACAAACTATTACTCATGGCTACTGTCTTTCTTCCTGCCTTTACTTTTTGTTATAACCGTTTCCTCTTTCAGTCAAGAACAAACATGATTTCCTCCAGAAGCTTTAATCCTGTCATCCTGCATTGCCTTCACAGCTGATGATGCTTCAGAACATGTCAGGTCACCACCCGAAGGAAAATACTCTGAACCAGCAAGTCAGGCCAAGTTTACCACTAAGATTTACTTAAAGCCGGGGGGGGGGGTGGGGGGGGTGTTCTGTTTTGTTTTGGTCTTTTGTTTTGGTCTTGTTTTGCGGGTGTATGTTTGTTGTGTGTTAATATTTCTCGGTAATACACCATAGCCACAGCTCACACAGGCTTTAGTCAGGACTTTGCACATTTAGTATGAATTCAGGTGATTGTTTTAGCTGTATACAAAAGCTGGTTATGCACACAACACAGTGAATGCTGTTTGTCACTGCTATGAAATCACTCACAAACGACTCAAATGCAAGGGAATTTGGACAATACCGAATTAAGCTGTCATGACTGTCCTGCGTTCAAACCACGACAATGACAATCAGCACCTTTTTCTTACACCTCTAAAAATAAATTGAGCTAGCAGTAGAAACGTTAAATACAAGTTGTCAGAATAAAATCACTTATAAACTTGCTTCTCAGAGAGAAGTAATGGCTAAAACATCACTTTCGGCACTTTGAGTGTATTAAACCGGAAGTTCTTTCAAACATTCACATCGGTACAATTCAACTTGCCGCCCCTTTAAAGACAAACTACCGTTCCGCTTTCAAAAGTGAAATTCCACAAGGAAAACCCAAGCAGAGCGCTGCTGCTGAGTCATTTTGCTGCAGCTGCCGCATGCCACAAGAGCGCCGGTTAGAAAACCCCAATCACTTACAATTTTGCCTTTGTCTTTTCTTCTTTCGAGACCATTTGCAAAACGCCCCACCCCTGATCTCGAAGTCATTTGAATGGAGAAGCGGTATCTTCAGCGCGGAACGCGATTAACCGGGGTCTCCCATGCGCTCCGAAGGCTCCCGCGGCAGCCCGCCCGTGGCGAGGTTCCCCGCGGGTGCGGAGGGGCCGCGGCTCCGCTCCCCGCTCCGCGGGCGGTTGGCCCCGGTCAGCGCTTCCTGTGTTGTGATTTGAAGCGAGGGGCGGCCTGCGGGAAGGGCCGGGCCGGTTCCTGCGGGATCCGTCCCGCAGCCTCCAGAATGAGCAGCCCGGGGAAAGAGCATTAAATATGTATGGATGCATTTTGTAAAGTGTTTGCTCTGCTGAAAACGGCATCAAAATTCGTCCTTTGCATACTTCAATGCATCAAGATGGCCTGAAAAGCTGTCATTTAAAAAAACCCAGCTTTTTAAAGCACTATTCAAAAAGTAATCCCATTTCATCCAATTTAGTTTCTCTAAGTGTCTGCTGTACCCAAACACAGTTAAATCTGAAGTCTTGCTTCCCTGCAGATCCAAAACATGAGATTATCAAAGTAAGAGTTCTTGGTGCATCACCCAGCTTTGCCCCAAACCTGTAACATGTTCCCTGAGCCCTTGCTGAGTTGATCAGTACTGACAGGACTGTGACAGCATCAAAAAGGCAATATAAGGCTTTCCAGAATTAGAACTATTTATTGAAAATTGATTCTACTTTCAGGATGCTGGACTATAGTGTAAAGCCAAAACCTGCTGCTGCCTTCAGCTGTCTGCATCTCACTGGCTGAAATATTAGTATCAGCTCTCCCCGCTTCGGTCAGGTCAGCTGCATCAGCTACTCCAGATGTTTTTTCTAGGCTGAGCTCCTGCAAACAGACTTGTGGGGCACTGCAAGAGCTCTCTGACAAAGCAGGACGTCAGCTATAACCCTGCAGCAGTTAAACTGAACTTTACAAATATTTAAGGCCAGATTCTATAAAAAGATGCATTAAGGATTTCTTACACAGAAACTGGCTCCACAGATTCACAGAAATAAAGATCTAGTTCTTAATGTGCTGGAAGCAACTGCACTTAAAATGAGCTGCCCAAGTGTTTCACTGTTTTTTTTTTGTTTGGTTTTTATTTGTTTTCTTTTTAAATGGGAGTTGTTGTTTTTCAGACAATAACAGCTAAGTTGGTATATTGCAAAATAATATATAATTCATTAAATAAACACAACAAGTGAATGTTAATCTGTTAAAGCAGTCTTTACCACCTTTCTCGGTACATGAATATATGCAGTACATAAAAAAATAAGATACCTGTTTTACTTACATGTCTTGGATCTTCAGAATTTAGAGAAGCAAGAGAACTCTGTAAGTCTTCGAGCTCTTTCTCTTTTTTCCCTATTTCTCTCTTTTGTTTCTCCAATTGCTTTTCCAGTTCTAAAGCTTCCTTGCGTAGCTGATACAGGATTCGTATCTTTTCACTCAGTTGCTGTTCAAGACTTTCCTTGTTGGCCTGTAATATCTGGAGGTAGCATGAGGAGGTTGGATAACAGAGTTTAATTGGATATATACAGCTGATCAGGAACATTTTTAAGAGTTAAATCAGACTGATGGTTTAGCCCAACTGGTTGCCTAAAAATGATCTATTCATTGTTTTGAATCTTCTGTAGAATCGTAGGATGGAGCTTTAAAGCTCATGCAGTTCCAACCCCCTGCCACAGGCAGGGACACCTTCCGCTAGGGCAGGTTGCTCCAAGCCTCATCCAGCCTGGCCCTGAACACTGCCATGGGGCAGCCACAGCTTCTTTAGATGCAGTTAACTGCACTACAACTCTGACAGCTTATTAAAAGCAAGCTATCAAAAACCCTTAAGATTTTCCTGATGCATGACAAATGGATTTACATATATATAATGGCCCTTATAAAAAAGAATGGGAGAAAACAAGTTCTGTTTTCTCCATCAATAATGTTTTCCCTTGCTATTCACGTAGCAGTTTCTTTACATACCTTTTTCTGAGCCAGAGCACCCTCTAATTGTTGCAGCTCCTCTGTTACTTTCAAAACTTGTTGCTCTGCATTTCCTATTGCACTTTGCAGTTCTTCTAATCTTCTTTGTGCTGCAGACAAAAATTAAACCAAAACCCACAACCCCCAAAATACATTACAATATTCTGTATAGTATTGATAGATGTTCTTTGTTAAAACATTAATCAGATGTTTAGAAATTACAGCACTTGAGGCCTTTGACGCCTTATTGCTGTTCTGTCAAACATGTCAAGCATTTAATCAGTGGAATAAGATACACTGAATAACATATTTCAGTTAAGATTTTACCTGAATCGATCTTTTTTTCTTTACCCTCTAGTAGTTCATCTAGAGTTTGAAGCTGGGGTTTCCTACAGAAGTCCTCTTCATCTGGCTGTATTTTTCCGGTCTCCAGCTGCTGAGCTTTGTGAGCAATGTAGCCTTCTCTTATAAACATATTCCTTTTATACCTGGCCTTACCAATGTATGGGCTTTCACCAGGTACATTATCAAGTTCAACATCCTGCAATGTATGAAGCAGTACATCTTTTATCTCACAGGTATGGCTGCAGTCAACTTGCAATATCATTTAAGTCTCTTAATCATTGAAAGGAAAACAAATTTTAGATTAGAATAATTAGAAGAAAACAGACTGCAACTGACTTGTTTGGCCTTTAATATTCTTGTCATTTTATAATAGAATTAAAAACACACAACCCCAGTTGGTGTATGACCAGATTGCTGCACATGAGTAATGCAAATGGACATTTAACTGGAGGAACTTTTCCTTAATATTTTGGACTTAACAGTAAGATAGATTATGCTTAATCCATTACATTGTTGCACTTAAACTTTATTCAAACAGAACTTTAAAAACTCATTCATAGTTAATGATTACTGATCTTTACATTCCTTGTGCAGACTCCCAAGATCTCTACATTTTTTTGCACGTATGACAGAGATTAGCTCTAGTAGGAGAAAAAGCCAACAGAGAAAGGACAGGCAATCTAATACCATCCAACTCAAAAACATTCTGGCTTGTGGAGTTTCTCCAAGTGAAAGGGTCTCCGCAATTAAGTCAGAAGAGAGGACTATCATTTGTTTGGTTAATAATAAGAATGAAATGATTGTTCACTGACTCTGTTTGGCTAAAACACATGCATATGTATACCAATATTCAATACACTGAATGTGACTCAGATTCAGTTTAGTTCAAATCTTATAACATACACTTTTAAAATTATTTTATTTCATAACTCTTAATAAAGCAGCCTGGTTTATTAAGTTTTATTAAGAAAACTATTAAGTTTTCTGTTTTTCCAGCTGAAAATCAAGAGAAACAGCCATGAAAATATCCTTCATTTTTAAATTGTTACCTCTGGTGGAAAATAATTTAACGGCTCAAATTTTGCATCAATCTTATAAAACGCCAGCTCCTGCTCCAGCTCATACTGCTTCTGGCAAGCTCGGGTGAGCTCCACTGTCTTCTGCTTTAACTATAAACCAGCAGACAAGGTAAGCTGCATTTAAGTGTCATCATCACATACATTCAATTCAGTAGAGAACAGCAAAAACATGAACTTTGAATCAAAGCTCGCATCAAAAAAAGGTTAAAATGATGTACTTTGGATCAAGAATATCACAAGGTGCAACTTTATTACAAATCACAATTTGATGACTAAGAACCCCACAATTAACATAACACAAGTGATCACATGAAAGGCCTTTTAAGTTTACATGCATCAAAGGTTTGAAGACAAATTTGTCATTAACTTAGGATAAAAAAACAATTTGGGTACAATCCCTTAGCAAAATCTATGACAAATAATTAATGTATTTACTGCTAATAACGAGCAGCAAGAACTATTAACACTCTTTAAGTGTACAGAGGCTTTGCTGCTTAGTTTTTGAGTTTCTTTTTTAAATAAAAAGTCCATCATGTGATTTCTTTTTAAATTAAATTTTCACTCTGAATACCTGAGGAAGAACATGCAGCAAAACTCCAACAGACAGGGGAAAGCAGGACTAATGGAGGATAAGAAATAGAACAGAATGGAATAAAGAAAAGGATTAAAGAAAAATTTTAAAAGACAATATATACCGTGCAGAAATGATCTGTGCATCCAAAAACCACAGTGAATATGAAGTCTCATTGGAACACTTAATGCAAATGTTCCTACTTCAGTAAACATGCAAATAAATCCTAGAAGTAACAACCATGCAACCCAGGAGCACAGTGGGGCTACCTTAGTGAGGAATAAAGGCTCTGTGGAAAGGGAACTGTGACAAACCAATACACCAGCTAAAGGAAGAAAGAAGTAGGCAAAGTTTGTCATTCAAAAGGATAAGAGGGGTTAAGCTGTGAAATATTTGCTGCTAAGTCTAACTATACTGAAAACTATGTTATTGAAATAGGCTTTTGGTTAGCTTGAGTATTCACAGAAGAAAGAGCTATGGAAGTGTAAGTTACAGAGATTCTGAAGGACTAAATTTTTGAGGACAAGAGAAAAGCCATATATTAAATTCCCATCAGATTATTCACAACTGAACACTCTCAATGCAAAAGGGCTTCTCTTGCATTTTATAGCTACCAATGAAAGACACTTCTCGGACACAAGTTTTTAGGATGATGTGAATAAAGGACAAGTAATCTAATGGACATTACTCAACATAATAATCAAGGGGTATTACTGACATACAACGGGTTTGCACACCTTGTTTTGGCTCTTAATTTTAAACACAAATCTCCAGTCATTTGAATTCTCACATTGAGGACTGGGTTTCTGACAACAAAACTGTTCCAAATATTTAGTTAGTACAAGTCATTATCTTACCAATTCATTTTTGGTGCCCAGGTCCCTTTGTAGGTCTTCATAGCTTTGTTTCTGTTGCAAAGTCTTTTCTTTTAATGATTTGTTGACTTCATCTTGGTGGTGGAGCTGCTCAAGAATTTTGGACTGGTTATGTTTAAGGGTCTCTATCTCCTTCACTGCGTTTTCCAACTCTCCTTCTAATTGTTCTATCTCTTCTGAAAAAAATGTAAATAATAGAAACATTTAAACAGAAAATCTTTTCCTTCTAAACTTAAATTTTGTGTCATTCACTTAAGTTCTAACATATTACCTAAATTAAACCTCTCTAGGGCTTCCTGCCTGTCACGATTTGTCACTGGCTGTCCATCCAAGTTTTCCAGTGCTCGCAAATGGAATATGGTGTACAAGCAGTAGTGAGGCAGACTTACAACTGGGTTATCAGCAAGAAATAGAGAGGTGAGATCTTGCAGAGGCTTTAGTTTAGCTATATCATGGAGCTAAATCAAAGACAAATGGAACAATGATTAGACATCCTGCCAAGAACAATTAAACCCCCATTAGTGAATTTCTGATGATAGAGTGTTTGATGTTAGGTCCATGCCAAAGATTACACTTCATGCTAAAGCATAATCTCTGAAAACCTACCAAAATACATAGCACCACAAGTAAGGTAACTTCCTCACGTAAAATACCACTAGAAAGAGGGCAAATTTCCTCAAGCCTAATCTTGGAAATTGTAAGCTAACAAGGCCTCTGGATATATGTAACCTTCCACTCCCCCAGACTTATTCACAAGAAAAGGGTTATTTTATCATGAGAGGTACTCAAACAAAGCTGGTTCATCTTTCCTCCTCCTCAGCAGCATGATTCCTTCAGGAATTGTATTAAGTGGCTTCCCTTCATAGACATCCTTTTGTAGCTACAAACTCAGAAGTTAACCTAGATGACAGAACTAAATCTAGTCATGTCCTAAATACAGAATATAAGCAAATAGATTATTTCCAGGTCTCCATATAATTAATTTACCACAAGGGACACCACCAATAATACAGAAAAGCCTTCAAATTTTCCCCAAGTTTTCAAACATTTTCCTGAGCAATGTTATACAGGTTTATGCCTTGAATATCTGGCACAAAAGGAGTGTTTCTGATAAGCAATTTTGCTAGGCTCACAACAGCTGTATTTCACTATAGACTATGGAAAGACACTCAGCAATTATATACCAGTTCACTTCATGAAACACATATGAACAATTATTGTTCCTAACTACGAGCACTTACTGATGACACTTTATTCTGTTTCAAATTGAGGATACGCAGGGACCTCAGTTTCTTCCCTACCCACACGGGAATATGCTCAATCTCATTCCCTGCAAGGTTCAGCTTTTGTAGATTCTGCATATGTTCTATACCTTCAATTTTTCTGAAAATTAAGAAGAAAAACATAACATTTTCATGAACCATAGCAAATTTACAATGTAACTGAGGCACTATGGATAAACGACAACAAAATCTGACTCAATTATCATCCAAGAGATCAGCAAAAGCAGTTGTTTTCTGCCATGGACTCATAATTCAAATTAAATTACACCATCTTACTTCCCAGACAAGAAAAATAAGTACTTTACAGCAAGACTTTAATTTTCACTCATCTTCATGTCAATATTGAAATTATATTAATATGTGGTAATTCTGTTTTAATACGCAAAATGTGCTTTTGGAACCAAAAAAAAAAAAGATGGTTTGGTGGGTTTTTTTCCACACGAAGGATCAACTGTAAACTGTCAGTGTGCAGAACTACATTTTTTAGTGTTATTAAGCATACAAATATTACAACAAATATGTAAGTATATATATAATATATGTAACTAAAGTCTGAAAACTTATAGCAGCAGCTAAGAGCTACTCTGTTTTTTTCAGTTCCTGTTGAGAGAGGAAGTTGTGCGAATGCAATGTGTAGAAATGCTAGCATCTTGCTTACTTCCTATTGTTAACCTCTCTACTGAAATTGCAGCTTCTCTACTGCAGTCTGACGTAAAGATCATAATTCACTAACAAAAAAAGGAAACCAAAATTTTTGTTACCATCTGAACCATTACCCTTCAACATTTTTATACCAGAAAGACAAGATAGCAGACTCTCAAACCAGTGAGGATAAAAAAGGCAAATGAGTGAGATCATGGCCTGCCTCATCAAGCCCATTCAGTTTCCTCTTCTAAAAGAAAACTTCTTGTATTGCCTGTATTAGCATGCAGTAAAAGCTGAGTTAAATTTTTAATGCATTTAATTGGGTTATTGCACAGTCTTTATTATGGTAGCTGGAAACTTGTATTTCTGGCTTGGTTTCCTAGGATAACAAGTTTGACTGCAGCAATGTACTCTAACATCACTTCCCAGAACTACTTATCCTTCTAAATATCTAAGAGCTTCTGCTTTTTAAGACAATGTCACCAAAGCCTGTTACTCTTGACATACAACTGGTGGGAAGTTCACCTTAACTGTTCCCCCCGTGAAAGAACCCACTTGATCAGTAAGTTTTATTTATACGGCTTATCAAAACTATGAGTGTTTCTGCTTACCTGATTTTGTTCCAAGACAAATTGAGTTCACGCAACTTCATCAGTTTATCCAACTTCTCAATCTTTTCTATTTGGTTGTTACTAAGGTTTAGTGTCTCCAGTCTAGAGCACTTTTCCAAATTTTCTATGTACTAAAGAACAGAAAATTAATCTCTTAGCATTAAAGCTTTCTTTTCTTTTCTTCTTTCTTTTTTTTTTTTTTGGTAAGAAAAAGGCAGATTTCTATTTTTTAACAACCACCTATTCATTAAAAAATACAGAGTATTTTAACAGTTTATTAATCGTAGTTTTACTGTTGCATTCTAAACCCCTGCTTTAGGTAGTCATATAACATTTTTTCAATAGAAGCCACTTTAGACCTAGGCTAACATAACTAAAATACGGCTGTTTACATGCACTTAAAAATAGACCTTTGCTAAAAAATAAACCAAAATGAATTTTTAACTTTGTTTAATTAGCAGTTAATTTTCAATAGCTTACCTTAAATCTCTTGTCCCCATCCTTTGGGGAAGAAAGATTCAGTGAGCTTATATAGGCCAAATTTTCCTGTTTTGACAGACTTTTTATGAGGGGTTCTGTAATGTACTTAACCCCTGGACTAGGACCATTTTTGGCTGAAAATAAACAGAGAAACTACCTTTAGTAGTGAAAAAATTGGTGTCTTAATATTAGTCTTTTACTTCAGTCTGGATCCTGGGAAAACATTTAATTTATTCCCTCCCTCCCCCAGGGGATGAGAAGAAAGAGCACACCAGAAACATTCACAGGAAATGACACGTCAAGAGTAAGCTCGCCTAGCCCTTTGAAAAAGGCAGTGAGCATCTCTCTTCCAGTCCTCCCCCGGCACAGAATGTAAAGGGTAAAAGTCTCATTATTCTACACTGCTTTCACTGTGTATTTCCACATTTGAATACCAAAAGATAAAGGCAAAATTAACAGGGTTCTTTCCAAAATACCATATATCTTAATCAGACATTTCATAGAACATTCGCTTTTTATGCTTTTAGTATGTACTCTACAAGCAGTTATTTATAATATACCTTTATGAAACTTACAGTTAAAAGCAGCATCTACATTTTCTTCTGTAATACCAAGTTGTTGGTGCCCCTGCTCCATGCTTTTGCAAGCAGATGGAGATGCCTGTTGGATGAGAGGAGATGGTGATCTGGTACTAGGACTGACAGGAGACATTGGACTAGGTGTCCGAGAAGCTGATGTCTGTGGTTTTCTACCAAATGCTTTTCTTTCTGAGCCTTTCTTCATTGCCAAAAATACAGAATATCATATGATCAACATCTGGAAGAACAGAAAAAAACTATCAGTCTGGATGTCTAAATCTTAATGGTTTACATGCCAACAAAGGTGCTACATAAGTATGCTTTTTAAGGATATTAGGTGCTTCTTGTCTCGGTGTCTTAACACAATTTATCACTTCAGATAATACAGTCTGGGACACCACAGAGGTGGTATTTGAGAAAAGTTGTCTTTTTAGCATAAGGAAGTATTTCTAGCACTGATTTGGTGCCAACACCACCCCCCTGATCTAAGCCAATTCTCTAGTGGGTGGCAGCTTCCAGTTTCCACAGTCAAATACACGCTCAGATTGGTGTTTTTTTACTTACACCACTGTACAGCGCAACACCTGGAACTGCCTGAACACAGTAACTGTTCTGCAATTTGTGGACTACACAAAGCCTGTCAGGTTCAGAGATGCTCTCAGCTCACACTAATGCGGTTGACAGAGGACAGAAAGAGCTGACTAGGGCACCAATTGTTTTTACCACATCTAGAAGTTATCCATCACAACTAGAAGAGCAAGAACAAGAGAAGAAACGCAACAGAGGTGAAATAAAATCCTAAAATCAGACTAGCACTGGCCTTCCTTCAGTGTTCCCCTTCCTGCAAACAATTTATTCCGCGACTGCCTGGCAAATTCCAGTGAATGTTAACAGAAACTTCCCCCCCCCCGTGATGAACATATTTCCCTCAGGGCAAGCATAGGAACAGCCATGTACTTGTCACGCATCAAAGCCCTTGTGGTAACCATCTTCAAGGGACAGATTTTTACTCAACCTAGACCCAGTAAACAAAACACTCATTTTAAGACATTCTTTAGGCTAGAAATGTATAGGGGTTTTATTGTTATTTATGAGCTATACGAATGATTATATTTTGTATTGAGATTTTCTTTGTTAAAATTATTTTTTTTCCTGAATCTTCAGAAAGAAAGAACAAATGAGCCACTCTCTTCAACCCAATGCTTGGAGGTACAACTCAATTCAGGGACAGGCAAGTGAGACTGGACACGGTAAGAGAGGGAGACAGATGATGGTGAGCTAGTAACAAGCTACTTTAGGAAGGTTCTTCATGTTTTAAGGACAACAGACATTTTAGCGCGGTTTCTCGATAATAGATGGTGGCTTCGCAATGAAAACGACGCCAGCACCTTCACGTTAGAGCAAGCGGGGAAGGGGAAGCGCTGAGGACCTGGCCAAGGATGTGTGCCCTGAGTGTCTCGGTGCCCCGCCGAGAGCAGTCGGGCTCTCGGTGCCTCCCCGCTCGCGGTTAACAGCCGCTCCCTCCGCCGGTGCCTCAGCCGAGCCCCCGGCCCTTCCCCGCGCTCCCGCCGCGGCCCGCACCTGACAGGACGGCGACCCCACCAGCTCGGTGCTGCCGGCCGAACCCGGCCGGAGCTCCCCTCCGAGGGGCCGAGCTGCCGGCTTCAGCGCCCGCGGTGAGGCGAGCGGCTGAGGGGGATACCGGTTCTCGCTGAGGGCGGTTCCCTTCAGGCCTCCGCTTTGATTACCTGCGTTGACATGGTAACGCCGTCCCGCCGCTTCCCGCTCGGGGCGGCAGCAGCGGCGGGCAGGGCAGCCTCCGGGCACCGCCGGGTGAAAACAGCGGCTCTCGACGCGGCTCTCTTCCGCCTCCCTTCCGATGCCGAGCGATCGCTATCTCCACCGTTCGCCAGAGCCGGGGTGCTGCAGCTCCTTTAAGAGCCCGCCGTGAGGAAACGAACCGACGCCATTTTGTCTGGCTGTTGGCTGGCGACAGGGGACCGCACCGAGGCGGGGCGAAGCTAAGCCCCTCCCACAGCCGCTTTCCCGCCAATGGCGGCTGATGCGGCGCGTGCGCTTTACCTCAGCGCTGAGGGTCTGCGGTGACCATTGCCCCTCTGCCTGAGGGTGGACTTTAAGGTGTTTGTAGTAATTAAAGCCCTAATCGTGTATAAATAGCAAAATCTGCTCTGGTGGTAGTTATTTTTTTGTGTTTGTGCTTTATTTGTATGTATGTGTCTTATATCAGCTTAAGGTTGTATGCAGGTTGGTTTTACTGAGGAACGCTGGGTGTAGCATTAGAAATGCATACTATGTTTGACTGTGGTAATGCAGTAGGGTTAAATTGCAGCCATTTCCACAGAGATCCTTAAATATATCTCTTCTAATAGTTTTGGGCTGTGTTAGTTTGGAATCTATGCGACTAGCTGAAATGTAGGCTTGAAATTCAGTATCCTGTGTCTAAAAAGTAGGGAAGGAGCATAATTAAAAATGCTATTTCAGAGTATTTTTAGACTTTTTAAGTGTTTTCTGATGTTCCTGTTCATTGCTCATTATTGCTCACATGCCACCCGTGTAAACTTGCTGTTTGAATTCTCATTGGTATTTAGGAATAGTTACTTGCAGTATTTTTAATCATCTAAAGCACCATACATCTTATAGGAGTTTATTCTGTCTATTGTTACTTCCTTTCTAGTTTATTCTGTCTATTGAGAAGCCCAAATTGGCCTTTCTGGAATGAATATTGATCTGAAATAGTTTTGTAAATGGCCTTCCCGTAACGGTTGGCTGCAGTATTTGTTTAAGCCTTGCACAACTTTAGTTTAACTTTACCTGAGTGTGCCTGTTGAGGGCCTATGGTTAGATATCAGCCATGCAAAGGTTTTGTTACCAATGGGTTCTTTTGCAAATGTTGTTGAAATTAGTACATGTAGGTGTATTGTGGCCTCATGTTTTCATATTGGGGTTGATCTCTTTACTTACGGAAGTCCTCAGGAAGCTGGAGTAACGAGGATTACAAGTGGCTAAAAGAAATTGGCAAGTAAAAACTTGAATCTTGTGGTCTAAATTTAACAGCACGTCGTGTTTGATACAATTAAAATGCCCTTTTTTTCCTTCAGATGCAAACTTTAAGTCACTTTGTTTTAAATAAAATTGTTTCCTAAAGGACTAACAAAATCTAATTTTTTGTTTGTTGCGTTTTGGTTTTTTTTTTATACTTCTGAAAATTATTTCTTGTAAGTTATGTATCAAACAGAGAGAGATAGGGTTGACACAGGATTGCTCTGAACAGATTCAGAAGTTGAAATCCTAGGTTTAGCTGTTCTGGCTTGGCAGAAGGCGATGACATTCAGTAAACCATGATCTGCAATTAATTATTAACTGTGAGTGAAACACATTGGTGGCATTTCTGTTGATCCAGAGCAGAAGCCAAACACAGTTCAGTCCAGAATCACTAGCGTCTATGGTTTGCTGCCATAGACACTATGATGGTCTTAATATATTTTTTTGTTTTGCTGTTTTCTGGAACAACTTTAAGCCAAGAGAAAACGTAAGTAAAGCAAATACAGAACTTACTAGGAAATGTTACTTGGTTGTTGTCTGCTATTTTAGGTAAATAGAGAATTTTAAGTACAGCCAGTACAAAAGGCACTTTCCAAATTGATGCATTTTCACAAGCAAAATTTTCACTAGTGTGCATGGTAGAAAAAGGGCTGATGCTTCTGGAATTACTGTATTTGCTGCCAAAGAAAGAGGTAGAGTCATTACCTGCTACAAGGTAAACATGCAAAAAACTTAAGCAATAAAGCTGGTGCTCTTTAGCTTTTCTGTAGTGCCTGAAGGCACTTTGCTACAGGTTTGATGAAAGCTCTTACCTAAATGTGTAATTTACAATTGAACTTGGCAATACTTTTTTGATTCTTACCTGCTAACAGTGGTATATAGACAGCAGCCAACCCAAGTGCTTTTGGCATTTCAGAAGAAGATGCACTTCATATTATTTTAGATGCATTATGTGTTAAGGTACTAAAACCTGGCTTGTACTTTTGTGGAATGATGCACACTTCAGTTTATAAAGCACCGAGGAAATTAAAGCAGTCCTGAAAGTATTTAGTCACATTTATCTTTACTGTAAGTTCCCCATTCATTTCAGTAAGAACTTTACTAATGGGAAAGCTATACAAGTGTACTGTTTGGAAGATTAGTGCTTCAGGGTTTAATTTGGCAAAAGGAGTAATTATTTCCATGAAAATAGCTTTTAGCAGACATGCTTTTGTGCGTTTGCAGAATCAAATCCATAAATATTATTCTAGCTAAGCTGTTATTTATTAATGTTACATTGCAGTTTTCATAACAATTATTTTGGCTGGGGCTCTGCTGTTTTTAAGTAATGTCTCATAATAACTTAACCTGATTGCTTTACCAATGTGTACATAAGTGAATTACAAACAGAAGTAAGAAATCCATTACTCTTTTTTAATTGGTTTCTATTCCATATGCAGGTATGTCCTTACAGCACCAAAGATCTTCCGAGCTGGGGCATCTGAGAAAGTTGTAGTTCAAGCTTTTGGTTATGAAAAAGAATTTCCGGTCAATATTGCCATAAAAAGCTTTCCAGATAAACTTGCTGTTTATTCTTCTGGCCATGTTTCTTTAACTCCAGCCAACAAATTCCAAGCTGCTGTAACTTTAACAGTAAGGAATTCAGACTTTTCTTGCAGTGTTTTTATTTTCACAGTTATAAGTGATTCTAGTAAGTTTTCAGTTGTTTAATTTGCAAAGGAAAGCCCTGATATCTCAGTTTGCCATATGTACATAATTTCATTTTAGTTTGTCTGAAATTGAAATTTATATTGGATAGAACTAGTGTAAAGGAATGTAACCAAAGTTAAACATATAATCAAACTATTTTAGAACTGTTATCATAGTTACATAAAAGTTAAAAGGGTGAGAATGGAGAAGTGTTGAATGTTTACAAGATATGTCAACTGAATGTTCAGAGTAAGCCACAGTGGTGACTAAACCCAAGTTCAAAACTTGACTGTCAGTAAAAAGCTCCAAAGGGGCCCAGATTTTAACGTAACATTTGTTTGAAGCCAAGAGTGCAGAAAGCTTGAAAGCTGACGATCAAGAAGGTTTTACTTGGGGTGATGGCTCCCAGGAGGTGCTTCTCACCCAGTTTTCAGCCAAAATAGGTATTTCACCAAACTGCCAACCGTAACTGTATTGTGGCTGAGATGCATCGTGTGTGCACATCTGGTAATTTATATTCTCATAACTTCGTAACTGGGCTCTGCACTTTGTTGTTTTAGTTCTGGACATAAATAAAATGGTAAATTTCAAAATACTTGTTTGTACTTCAGATCATCATCTGTGATATAACCAAGAATAAACCCCTGTGAATGTTGATAATTTTATTCAATGATAACAAAGAGCAAAATAGTAACTGCTATTCAGATAACTCTTCTCAACAAGAAATTCTACAGGAAAAAATACTTGAAAAATATGTAAATATTCTTTTAAAATCTTTATTTCATCTCCCCCAGCTTCAACCAACAGATTTGCCAAGGACAGAGAATTCGGTCAATTATATGTATTTGGAAGCTGTTTCTCCACATTTTACAAGATCAAAAAAAATTCCTGTTTCCTATGAGAATGGATTTCTTTTTATTCATACAGACAAACCAGTTTATACTCCTGATCAGTCAGGTAAATAATGCTTATTTCTCTTGGCTGTTACTTCATTTCTTAAAGTCTGTTGACTTTGCCAAGGAATTAGGATTTAAATGTTCTGTAGGTTCTTGGTTATGTTGTGTTGCCATCAGCTGCTATTTAATTTTTTAATCAGCAGAGTAATATTTTAAACCATTTGATCATACTGTAGAAATGGCCCAGTTCTCCCAGTATCCTCTCAGCCCTTACTCTCTGCACCATAAATGACTAACCAATGGCACAAAGTCTGAAAGATTTTCCTGGGAATATGTTAAAAATATTTATAGAAAAATAATGACAGAATCATTTGTTTCATGGAGATTGAGCTCTTTTCTTACCAAAGTGATGTGCTAAGATTGTGATGGTAAAAAATTATATTGCACTGCAGTGATTAAATGTGAAAGAGGAGTGGTGCAGGGTCTCTTCTTGCTAGCATGAACAGAAACTGTTTGGACACCATATTAACAAAATGTAAGAGCATTCTATAAATATTATAAACTTAATTAGTATGGGTGAAAGATTGAGGTTTGAGGTTTTTGTTTCTTTTTTTCATCACTGTAATAGTATGACTTTGAGATTTATTGTAATAATTCTTACAGTGAAAGTCAGGGTTTACTCTCTGAATGAAGAACTGCAGCCAGCTCGGCGAGAAACTGTCCTAACTTTTGTGGTAAGTTGTAACTGAATTTAATATCAATATTCTGAAGATGTAGTTAGATGGCAAACCAGTATTGCAATATAACTATTAGGTGGTTTTGCAGGTAGCCAGTTTTATTTTAAAAGAGTTAAAACTTGACTTTGCACAGTTGGATAGAAGTTTTCAAGTCCCAGATCTGAGGTTGTTACAGAATGGAAAAAAAAAAAAAGAATTTTCTGGGGAAAAGATTTTTGAGGGAATTCTAGTAATATATGGTTTTCATACTGTGCTTTATTTCATTTAAGATATAAAATAATCAGTATACTGTATTTTTTTAGCCTTTAACAATAGGCTTGTTATTACATTAACTTTTTAGCAATTTTAAGCATTTTTTTAGTAACAGCTTTTAATTGTTGGAACCACAGTAAAATGTTTTACCAGAATTTCAGTCTGAGTTCTTCCTAAAAACATTTGTGTTTTCATGCTGTGAAGTGGGCAAAACTCTTAGAAAAATTACAACCTTTTCAGGCTCTCCCTGAAATCACAGAATGAAGCTTTTCCCCTTTGATAAGAATGGTAATTGCTGATTCTTTCCTGTTACTCTTTAAAGGACCCTGAAGGAGTAAAAGTGGATATTATAGAAGAAGAAGATTTTACTGGAATAGTTTCTTTTCCTGACTTCAAGATTCCTCCTAATCCTAAGTACATT